TTCGCTCAAAACGCAGGAAATCGCATTTCCGAGGTCCTAGATTTCAACTAAAATTTCCCTGGGGAGAATACCCTGAAACCCCCTACAAATGGGAGGTATTGGGGATCAGTCAGCGTAGGAGCTGGATCCGCTCCTGAGTCTACACGTGCGCCATGTAATTATATGCTGATTTCTGGAAGGACAAACGTGCCGTTTAAAACAATGAAGTATATATATATAAGAAGAATTGCGAAAACCTAAAATTACAAAGTAAAGCTTTTAATTCATCCTAAATGTAACAGTAATATGTCTTAGCGCTATAGCCATAACAAATACATAGAATTTCAAAATAATATGTTATTGAAGTCTGACGTCGGGATATATATCCTAATATCCATACAGTTCTCTAGGCAATAAGTCGTGATCCAGCAAATAAATTTATTACTAGACATAAACGTATACTGATAAAAGCGCTGATAGCAATTAAAACAACTTGAGAATAATACGTGACTGGTGAGCATATATCGAGAGCCGTGTGATTTGCAAACAAAGAAATCAGATAAGGAACCTCATTTGTTTTGCCGGTGTCACGTTCACTGAAATCTAATTAGCTTAAAATATGCGTGAGCAAGCAGCCATGCGGATTCAAGAAACGCACAAGCACACTTCAAGTTAGTGCAAATTATATTCAAGAGGACATAAGTCATATAAGACATGTATTTTAGTGCAATTTCACACAATTAGGGTATTTAGGTATTGCGCTTAAGCTTGTTATTGGGATTTTATATTGCACGTGATGTTTATGGTATTCGGCTAATGAATAGTTATAATAACTGGCTAAAAATAACTTCAGTCAAAATTTTTTCCGTCTTGTGAGTCACAGGTCTGCAGATTTGTCTTGGATGAAGACATCCGCATGGATTATTGTCTTGTAATACTCTGTTGCGATACTATACATACATCAAATAACAGAAAATGTCAGGTACTAGTCAAGACAATCGGACCAGAACGATAGATCAGTCGGTAGTTGAAATTCCTGCACCCGTACGACTGGATATTCCAGATGAAACTGAGTGTTTACCAAGCAAATCTCGTCGGTCTAACTGGTTTCGAAACAGCTTTGGCCCTCTGACAGAATATGGAAAGCTGAAAAAGACGCAATTCGTTATGGGAGCACGCAATTTGGAGGTATGATGTACAGGACTAAATAATACAGATATTCCGAGTAATGGATGATTTCAGCTATATCGACTAAATTTTGATCCAGACAAGAAGGACAAGATCTATCATTATAGCTTAAAGAACATCGTTAAATTAGTAAAATTGCCAAATTTGGTTGCGAAATTTTGTAAAATACGTAAAATATAGCCCTGTGAAATTTGTAAATTTTGATTATTTTAGTATTACGCGCTGAAAAAAAATGCACCAATTTTGAGTTGAAAGTGGTGCATTTCTTCGCGCATAATACTAAAATACTCAAAATTTGCTGATTTTCGTATTTTACAACATTTTGTAACGAAACTTTGCAATTTTACTAATTTTAGATTTTCTTTTGAGCTATAATAATAGATTTTGTTTTGCTAGTTAAAAAATTAGTCGACAGCTGGAATCATCCATTAACATTCTTATACACTTCTGTAGTTTTTTGTTTCACTTTTAAGTCTTTATAAATGTCTCCTGCAGTTTGCTTGATATGTTTCGCTTCATTTGCTTGAAGTATTGCCTGTATCTTCCTGCAGAAAGGACAGTACGGTAAGACCTATAAACTGCTATTGCAGAATGGAACGGAAAATAGGGCAAAGAAGGGCGATGAGAAGAGAAGAGAAGGAAAGGGGCCTCCAAAATTTGCAGAATCATAAAAGTTCTATAGTACTTGCTACTGTACATCATAAAAATTCCTGAGTACTTTAATTTAAGACAGCAGGAGATTCAATCTACCAAATTGCATGCCAAGTTAGTCACTTAGTGTCGGGGAGAATCTTGAGTTAATGCATGCATGTCCAGTTTTATACACTTTTTTAAGCTATTTGCTATTATATGCTATTTACATTTCTCTTGAATAATCTCTATACAGCATACGTATGTAGTTTCTATGAAATTAACGTTCCCTGTTTCTCTGAATATAGGGGTTTGCTGAGCATCTATTCGATATTTTTGACGTTGAACAACATGGTTATGTCAGCATACAGGAACTTGTTGGTGGCTTGCGGCTCCTTTGGCAGTAAGTACTAAATATATTCCTTTTATTTCACTGATTTATTGATAGAGCATGCTATAAATATTTCTCTTGTTGTTTGATGATATCATCGTTCCTGGATCGCATATAAATATCAGTTCACTTTTAAAAATACAGTAGGTTGGATAATGATGTTGAAAGAGAATCGAAATATTAGCATATATCGTGATTATTCAATTCCTAAATTCGTGACGTGTAGGATATAATTTTCAACCTCGTTGCCAGGTCTTTCGTGTGAAGACGAGGGAAAAGAAGAGAAGGGCCTGGTCTGGGCCGGTCAATTTTGCATTTTGATTGGCTAACACGTGCACCATATTGTCTAAAAATAGCAGAACTTGACAACATAGTTGAATTGTTCTATTGTGAGCCTATGCTATCAACCACAGAATCAACTACTTCTTTTGTGTTCCTCCAGCCTGCTTTGCGCGCAAAAGTCAAGCGAAAATGAAAGTCCTTTGAAAGTCAAGCGAAATTGCGTTTGCCAATCCTTGATAACTTTGGTATCGTTGGTATCGTTGGTTAACCCGTGGATTCGTCTCACTTTTCGTTTCATTTTGAGCCCAAAATATTTATTTTGAAGGTTTTAAAGTGCAGTTATAATACCTGAAGTCATATTAGAAGACGGATTTCCGTCCAAGACGGGAAATCGTGTGATGGATTTCCGTCTGGTATGAATATGAAACGAAAATCATCGGACGGATAAACCCGAAAAACTAGGAAACCCTCCATCCCAGTCTCTTATGAACGTTATGAGCAGAAACCCGCCTTGATTTATTCGTCTGATATAAATTTAAGACGAGTTTCCCGTCTAAGGCGAGAAACTCGTCTAACTTTCCCGTCGTTCAGACGGGAAAGTTAGACGGAAAAGTTGAGACGGAAACCAGTCGTTAACCGAATTTATATCTGGACGAGTTTCTCGTCTTAGACGAGTTTCTCGTCTCAGACGGAAATCTGTCTTCTAATATGTATCGTTGACAAATCGCTCACAAAATATTAAAATAAAAGCTGCAGTACGTTTGATCCTTGATAACTTTGGTATCGTTGGTTTTCGTTTTTTAAGGCCGTATACCAGTGGATTCATCTCACATTTCTCTTTATTTTGAGCCCAAAATATTTAATTTTGAAGGTTTTAAGGGGCTGTCTCTCTATATTCTAAGAACCTCAAAAAATGAAATTCTTCGTTACTTTCACAATGAAATGTATTTGCCCCAAGAACAATCAAATACCATTTGGAATTTTGAAATTTTATTAAGTTTTAAAATTTCAGCGATTTTTCGGTCCCGCGTCGTCGGGAAAAAAAATCCTCTGCCTAAATCAGGCATAAAAATTAGCTGAATTCAAATACATATAATTTTAAAAGTATTCAACCAAATTTTATGATTTTTTCACCCACCAACGTGAAAATTATTCTACTTTGAAACTTGCCTTGCTTTATGATGCTTTTACAGACCGATTATGGCAAACTTTAGCGATAACAAGCACCGGGACTAAATACGGCTTTGTATACATATCAAATTCGACTTTAAATTTCTCAAAAGTGGCACATAACTGGATTCCGTGACTAATATGGTTAAAAAAGGGGAAGTTTGAAGCACCCGTATCCATAATAAAACTTGTTACCAACCGCGATTTGAAGACTCGACAGCCTCTGAAATTTGATACAATTTGGCTATTTTGTTTAGCGTCAATTATAGCGGAGTTGAGACGTCAGTGAGCTTCCAGTTACTTGTAAAATGCGCTGTTGTTCCGTTTTTTTACACAAACCGTTAATATCATCGTGGTTAGGCGATTTTTCTGTGTTCATGAACATCACAAGTGGATTTAATTCGGAAAAATTTCGATGGATGCAGCGAGGTAAACGTGGTCATACGCTTTCGTATTAAAATTAGCTACTCGGGGGAAACCCGGAAATCTAAACTCTGTATGTCTAAATCTAAATTATTAATCTAAACTCTGTATGTCTATTCTGCACGATTGGAAATGAATTTAAACTGGAAAAAAGACTTGATCTAGAAGATTACTATAGATACTGATTATTATAAAAAGATCCAGTTGCAATCGTGCGTGCCAATTGAATTGGATTTGGATTATAGTTTGAATAAGGGTTTTGATTAGTGTTTCAACTTGGGCTTGGCTGAAATTTAATAGAAGCGTCACATATGGATTAGTCTCCAAATGACCCCCACCCCAACTCTATCCTGACCCCTACCCTACACCCACCCCACCTCTATTGTGATGTCATTTGAGGACCTTTATATCAACTTCACCTGGAATTGTTTAAGGAGAGCTAATAAATTGTGAAGTTTATTTTCATACAAGAGTTTTCAAATGACGTCACAAAAACGCGAGGTTGGGGTAGGTTTGGGTTTGGGGCAGAGTCGTACTTGGGGTGTGAGTAGACCAGGGAATGTGGGGACTCTTATATGAAACGTCGGCCAGAATAATGGTAGAAACTGTTCACGATGTATTTAAAATGAGGAATGTTAATTAATGCGTAAATTATACCTTATATGCATGGGCATATAAGGTATAGTATCATGTGAAGATATAGTTGGGAATCGAAATTGTCAAATATATACTAAAGGAATTGCTGTGCATTACATGGAAGAGAAGCTATAGAAACAAGACAATTCGTCATGTTTCTGGTTTTCTGCTAATATTAAATGGCAGTAAGTGTTGCGCGATTAAACTGTTTATGACGGGAAGTGCCAAAATTCCGATCTCTCTATTTTACCTCGCTTACCTCGCTGTAACGTTTACCTCGCTGCATCGAGCCAAATCTTTTCCGAATTAAAACAACTTGTGATGTTCATGAACATGGAAAAATCGCTTAACGGCCTGTGTGAAAAAAAACCCGGAACGACAGCGCATTTTACAAATGACTGGAAGCTCTGACGTCTCAACTCCGCGATAATTGAAGGTAACAAATTTCAGAGGCTCTAGAGTCTTCAAACGCGATTGGTAGCAAGTTTTATTGTGGATATTGGTACTTCAAACGTCCCTTTTTTTATTTAAACATATTTAATCGTTTGCCCCAAGAGCTATTTAAGCTCATCTAGGGGGCTCACGCCGTACTTCAAACGTCCCTTTTTTAACCATATTAGTCACGGAATCCAGTTAGGAGCCACTTTTGAGATATTTAGTAAAGTCGAATTTGATATGTGTACAAAGCCGTATTTGGACTTGGTGCTTGTTATCGCTAAAGTTTGTCATAATCATTCTGTAAAAGCATCATAAAACAAGACAAGTTTCAAAGTAGAATAATTTTCACGTTGGTGGGTCAAAAAATCATAAAATTTGATTAAATACTTTTAAAATTATATGTATTTGAATTCGGCTAATTTTTATGCCTGATATAGGCTGAGGATTTTCTGCGCGACTGCGCGGAACAGTAAAATCGCTGAAATTTTAAAACTTAATAAAAATTCAAAATTCCAAATAGTGTTTGTTTGTTCTTGGGGTAAATAAATTTCATTGTGGCAGTAACGGGGAATTTCATTTTTTGAGCTGAGAGTCATTGGTCGGTTCTTATAGAGACAGCCTCTTAAAGCGCCGTTTTAATCCTAGCATACGGAACAACTGGGCATAGTACAAAACATGGACTCGACTGGACAGTTGGACTGGACTGAACAGTTGGACTGGACTGGACAGTTGGACTGGACTGATTTTTACATTTTCTCTATTCTTGACTTGCATGTCACCCGCCACCTGACATGGCACAAAAGAATATTTTAACACAGCAGATACTATACCATGTCATGTCTATTTTGTGATTTTATCAATGATCATTGTCTGGTGTATACCAGGAGGAGATTGGTTGAAAGTCAAGAATATAACGTTTTGCGCCTGAATTACTATTGATTTTCGGAAATTGAAATACTTTACCTTCCCCGATGACCTCACTTTATAACTGGAGTGAAATCTCTTGAAGCGAAAGAAACCCCAGTAGGTAGAATACAATACAATACAACACAACACAATACAATACAATACAATACAATACAATACAATACAATACAATACAATACAATACAATACAATACAATACAATACAATACAATACAATACAATACAATACAATACAATACAATACCATACAATACAATACAATACCAAACATAAACTACTTATCTGTCTTTGCATTGGGTAGCCTGCTCGCATACGTATTAAATTTCGATATTTCAGTCTGCATGGCCACGGGCGTAGAAAGATCGATAATTGGGGGAGGGTGGGGGGGGCGGGAGCTCATATTCATATATTCATGTTCTGCATCATTTACTTCTTTTGAAATTGATTGTTTTTACGGTCTGCGAACATGAATATATGAATATGAGCCCCCCCCAAAAAAAAAATATCGATCTTCCTACGCCCATGGCCATGCAGGCTGAAATATCAAAATTTAATACGTATCCGAGCAGGCTATAAGTAGTTTATGTTTGGTGTTGTATTCTACTCTACTTAGGGGCTGACCATTTAACCTTTGAGGAGGGGGGTGATTTTGAAAAAACATTTCCTGCAAGGCTATTCTGAAAAAAAAATGTCTGCACTAACAAACTGGGGGGGATATCCTGCCCCAGTATTTGGTGGGGAAAAAATGTTGCAAAACAACATGGTTGCAGGGATCGATTTGACCAGTCCCAGAAGATCAGCTGGTTTGATTTTCGGAGACTAGTATAAGGTTAATTTCTTGTTGGAAAACTCCTCAAAATGCTGGAAATAGCTTATCTGAGCTTCACGAAATCCAAAATATTCTGGGGTCATGCCCCCAGACCCCTCTAGAGGCTCGAACCTTCAGTGGTCGACTCGGTTGCCTCAGAATCGTAGTTAATATTGGCCTGATCAGTTGCCCTGTGACGTATACTTATTAGTTAAACCATGCATATATATGCTGGTAGCTGCAGTGATACAGACTTGCCGACTGGAACTTTTCCAAGTCCCCCCGCTAAATATGTCCCCTCCAGTTACACATCTGTAAAGAGGTCCTG